ATTTACACATGGTTGGGAATAAAAACTAGCAGTGTGACATTCATTGTTGTGTGGAAATTACTGACGCTGCCACCACAGAAACATTCCAGCTGCCTTTCTGTATCATCTCTTATTGTACAAGTGAGGATGTAAAAACTAACACCCCAGAGAGATTTCCCCCAGCTAGAGGGTAAATCAGTCACTGGGAATAGGGATAAAGCATAGGAGAAGGGAAAGTGAAAGCAAAGGGAAAACAACTCTGGATTAAAAAGAGAGTAACTAGAACCTCTCAGTTGCATGGAAATTATGTTTGCTATAGGTCTACAGTTAAATGACATGTAAAGGATGACCCTGTTCTGTTTATTCCAGACTGGATTCAGATTTCACTTTTTTTTTTTTTTTCCATAGAATCATAGAATGGCTTGGGCTGGAAGGGACCTTAAAGATCATCTAACTCCAACCCCCCTGCCATGGGCAGGGACGCCACCCACTAGACCAAGTTGCTCAGGGCCCCATCCAACATGGCCTTTTTTTGCATTATAAAAGTATTCTTTTCCTCTTCTGCAATGTTTTAAAGTGCACAGCATAGACAAACTGCTATGCCTTCTCTGGACTGATTCATCAAACCACTCTTCCTTCTAAACCTTCAAATCTCTGAAGCATGTATTTAGCAAGTATCCTTGCTCCTCTTAGGAGCCGTTAGGATTTTCAGTTCTGGCGTGCAACACCTATTCTCTGGGAAATGGCTCAAAACCAACTAACACCTTATTCTCTTGATGCTTTGAAGGTACTCCTCACTACCATAATACCCAAGTTCCACATGATTATCTCAACAAAATCTCCAGAGGTCAAGACGTGCAGCTAAACTCTGCTTGTGAATGGTGAGTCACAACACAGAAAAATGAAGCATTCTAAAAGAGAAAATTAACCTTTAGTGGAAGATGGACAGTTCACATTGCATTTAGTTAGAGGTAATGTAAAAAAGAGCATGAACGCAAAAGGTTATGACACAGAAGCTCCAAGCTCAGGATCAGAGAGCATGTGCACTAGTGTGAAGAATGATTTTTTTCCCTGTTTGAGTTCCAGGTTCACAATACATTGGGACTGGATGATCTTTTCCTCTATACACCACGCACATGAAGCCTACGATCTGCTGACAGCCCCTACCGCCTAACACTACTTTGGAAGGCTCTCAACTGACCAGTAAGATTACTGTGCTGTCAGACTCGGCATTAAAGGGACACAGACGTCAATTTTCCCTTTTGACTACAACAGCTGTTTCCCACTGCCCGAGTTTTGGAATGCTTTACCAATAACGCGTATTACCTTTCCACGCAGGTCAGATTCACTCCCTCCTGCAGCCTTTTTACATATCCATGGACTTTTCCCACCTACATGCAGCAGTTGCTTCTTTTGCAAGGACAGTATTTCACTTAATACGTCAAAAAACACTTTAATAAATGCATTTCTAATAATATAGTGAATAGTGATACTGGACACTTATTTAAATACTGAGATGTTATTCTTTAATGCAGACTTGTATTTTCTTTTCCTTGGATAAAAATAAGGAAATTGGACAAACTGTTTGTCTTTCTTAAGAGACCATATTGTTGCTACCCATACCAATAGACGCTAAACACACTGAATACTAACAATCTCCAAATAAAACAGACATAGAGAAGGAGTTTTCTAGAGGATTTTTCTAGGATCAGAATAATGAGCAGCAGCCAACCCAGCCTATGTGCTTATAGCTGGGACTAGAGCCAACCGTTACAGAAAGGATAGATCAGATACTGTGAAAATGCTCTTCATGACAACGGTATCTCTAGGATTTGGGATTGGGAAATTGGAAAAAGCTTGATGAATAGTAGAAGGAAGGACTCTGCAAACAGGACAAAGAGAGCTGCAGTAGATAAAGGGACTATTTCCCTCCAAAATATCCCTAGCAATTGTCCAAAAAACACAGAAAACTGCATCAGACACTGCCCTTTTTGTGCATGAACTGACCTCTTCATAACTGTGAAGATGACTGGGAAAAGTACCAAAAAAAGTTTTAGAGTTGCACATGGTATTAAGAGCAAGGGAACCCTGTAAGCACCCTATTCACCATAATTCATCTTAACTTTCCCTGGGTGCCCAAGAAATAAGTTCTCAAAAGTTAAGCTCTGCATGTGTGTATGTGTGTACATGCATGCACATATGCAATCCACACATATTATAAGGGGAAAAGATTTTAATTCAGCATGTATGTTAGCCCTTCCTGACATTTTACTATCAAACATTTGTATCCAAGCTCAATGAAAGACAAAACCAACTCATTTACACATTTTCATTTCAGACACGCTCCAGTTCTTCTCCCTGCCCTTCTCAAAATAATACTCTTCATGGGCTTGGTAACAGCTTACAATATACATTGCACACTGTGCCGTTTGCAAGCGCAGATTTAGGAATAAGCATCTCAGATAGACAGCCAAGGCACAAATCACCTTTTTTCTGGCCTTCTTACAGCCATGATAAATAAAAAACCCACCTTATCTGTGGAATCCACTCAAAAAGAAAAACATGAGTGAGAAGGCTTTGTTTCATACTTTTCACTTTACCAAAAAATGCAACTGTAAGTCTCACGTTACCTTATCTCCCATTTTGAGCCCACACCCAGAACAATGTCTCTTGGTAAGATGAATATTACTACCAAAAAAGCTCAGGTTGACAATTTCTCCTCAAACTCACAACGGGAAAACTGAGCTTCTTGTTCCAGACTACCTTGGATTCCACCACTGCATGCTATAGCGCTTTATAGCCAAAACCCTTCCCTGAAACAAACTGAAACATTATTCCCACAAGGGGATCTTGTTTTCACTCTGAAAAAAACTTCCCAGATTTGCCATGAAATCTCACCAGAACTGAACGGAATGTGGCCTGGAATAACAGCGCACCATTGCTGCAATGAAAATAAATGAAACCACGCATTCCTACTCTGCAGGGAAAAAAGTTCTTCCAGGACAAGCTGTACAGGATGTCCAGACTCACACTGAGCACACTGGACAGCAGGTATTTAATTGCCGGTATGTTCTCTGCACTTTAGTCTCTTGAATTTAGGTATACAAATCAAGGGTTGGGTAAGGAAGACTGTAATCCAGCTGACTATTGCCAGACTTCACTGCTGATGGCTTAATCCAATCATCATCTCTCAGTAAAATTCATTTTTTTAAGCAATTTTTTAATATTTAAACCAGCTACTATTAAAGGTACTTACATATACATACACACACACACACACATATTTACTATATACCCCAACAGACAACGCAATAGACAACGCCAATAAAGGCATTCCATAGCAATCACTGCCTAAGAAATGAAGAAGTGATTATCTGCCAAAGGGAACATGCTCAGGGGAAATTCTTAACTTCCTTACTTCTAATGAGGTTTTTCAGGCAGTACAGAAAAGACAAATGGTTTTCTGACTTCTATTCTAAATTATTTTGGAATGGTACATGATTTTCTCTCACCTTAATGGGAATTACTGATTAATTACACACACCCTTAAGATCATATACACCTGAAAGGTATCGTTACTGAAACAGAAATTTCCTTTCATTTGCAAACCATTTGTTACCTCCAGTAAGTATAAAAAATGTAGAAGTTAAGAAGCTGAAGACCTTTGTTCTAATTTCCTATTCATGACTTTTTTTTTCAAAGGAGCCTGGACTAGTTAGGCTATTTTTTAAAAGTTTTTTTTCCATTCTACTTGACCATAACTCTGACTTTTTTGGCCCTCTGATCCAACGGCCAGAGCTGGAGTCTACATTTTTGCCTCTGGCAAAGCTCTTGCTGAAATCCATGGTAATCCTGTGAGTGCAGCCTGCAGGTTCAGGCCCTTCAAAGTTTCAGAGCACTCAAGACGGAACTCTTGGCATTGCAAAGACTGACACACCTGATTAACTTAGCCACTCTACATAATGCTGGCTTCAAAACCAATTCAGAAAGAACAGCTATGCAAATTGCCTAAATGAAATATGAATTATAACTTCTAACAACAGCAGTTCCATTTTTATTAGGGCACTACAAAAAACGAAAGAACTGCTTTTCTGCATGTTCATTTTATTTGACGTCACATGCTTTATATTTGCAGCAAATGCTCAAGACACCAAGTGAGGCATGAGAGGCATCAAAAGTGGCAACCCTCTGTGTAAAGGCTTGGTCTGTGAAGTGGTAGCAGTCAAAGTCACACTTCCAGTCCTTTTGAAAAACATGTGGATGTTACAAAGCTACAGGAACATTACCATCTGCAAAAGACAGCACTGCTACTTAAGAACAAGAGATGGACAGTCGTATCTTGTGACACCTCTTTCTAAGGACACAGAAGAACACTAAGAGGCACAACAGCCATAGTCCAAAACATCTGCCATTTTTTTGCTATTATTAAAATGTCAGTAAATCCTGTCTTCAAGCCCACAGTATGACAGCACCTTCATTACAGATCTCCCTTCTTAGAACTCATTCTTTTCTAAGAAAATCCTTCTGGACTGAAATTCAGACAACTACATCTAGGCTGGAAAGGCAACCATGAACAAATTTTACTTTGGGTATTATGAGAGAATAAAAAAAAAAGGGGTTTTGAATTCCATTGCCCCAACTTTCATCGCAGTGCACTTTACAGTATTAGGCCCACAACAAAACGTCGTTAAATGCCTTCTGCTCATCTGGTGATGTTCCCCTGCCTTTTAAAGCTGAAGGTTCTCAGTGCAGCAACGAAACTCCAGTTGCATTAGTCCCTTTCTGTTTGAAATAAAAAGCAAGGCAGCTACAGACAGATCCGTGGCATCCACTAGAAACTGTTGCACAGTTAATATTCTCTTCCATGACCTTTCCATCCAAAAGTACCACTATGTTCCCTACATCATAAATTAGAAAGGTATTTCTTGCCTTCATCCTTCCTCCTGTTCCTACCTTCAGAACAGGAATGAGAAACTATTTAAATAGCACACCCCACAGCAACTTCCTACAGTAATATTTACCTTTGCATATGTCTGTAATATTCTCCCATGACTGATCTATTGTGCATTCTGAAAAATTCCTGTCTCCATTAAAATAATATCCTTCTTTACACTGATAGTACACTCTGCTCCATAGAGTGGTAGAGTTGTGCCACATCATTTCTGTGTGTGGAATCAGCAAAGGTTTGCCACAGTCTATTTCTGAAACAGAAAAACAAGGTAACAAAACCTGAAAATTAAAACAGACAAGGCATATCAAAGTGTTTAAGGAAGAGAGATTAATTGTCCCAGCGAGCAACACTTCACTTTTTTTCACTTCCTAGTGATTTCTAGAAGTCAGACCAGCCATTTAGAACCCGGAATCTTGTGAGTGGAGACTTTCTAGCAGAGTGGGGCATATGTCCCTCAAGATGAACCATAAAATAGAAGAGTGTCCTGTTTAGAAATGGAGAACAAGGATCTCTAAGTAAATTTTTACAAGTGGATCTGTCTTCCCACAACACCGTCTTATCCCCCACGTGCTATTTATTCCTTTATTTTACCTATCATAAGTAACAATAGATCTGAAAAACAACGCACGGTCCAAGGAGTGACATGGAAGAACAGCATCAAGAAGGTTATGTTCCTTTGTCAGGGGATTTAATTCAAGCTTTGAAAAACAGAGAAGCTGCTACAGCTAAGCAGAAAGAGCACTTCTGGGGAAAATTTGATGGATTATTCAGACCACTTTAGAGATAAGTAGAGAGCTGGGGTAATGAACTTATACATTAATTCATTTGCTCAGTTGCTTTCAGGGGCTTCATAATAAAATTAGGGAACAAAAAAGAATAAAGAGTGAACATCAAATCAAGGGAAGAATATTATTTAGGGTTAAAATTCCCTTTCAAATCCACAATGAACGTTACACCCCAATAAAAGATTCTGCATCACTTCGTTTATAAGAAGTAAACAATGTAAGAATTAAAATTTTACCTTCACTAAAGCTTATATGCAGAAAACAAGTGCTTTTAAAACTGTTCAATAAATAATCTTAAGCAATTCTGAAATTCTACTCAAAAAAAGGAAAACAAAGAAGTAAAAAACAAAGTATATAGAATCATTACCTCTACAACCTTTAAAGGAGAAGTTAAACATATGTATTGCAATGGGCAATACATCCACCATCATGACTACCTTCCTTTTCATATCCCAATGAGTATGAATGTATGTATCTATTATAAATCATTAGAACAAACTTTAGAATAACTAATGCGCATGCAAGGAATATGCTTAACTTATAGAAGGACAGTATGTGATGAGATACAAAAATTACTGCTGCCTAACTCCAGCTATCTGCTGATGGTCATCCTGTAATCAGACTGAAAAGCAGAAATGCAGAACTACGTTTCTGTGTAGACTGGTGACCCACAATAAGAATATTAAAGAAGATCCTAAAAGTAGAGAGTGGTTATAACATAGACATGGTACACTGCAATAAAATGGAGTAATTTTTTTGAATGAACAGAAGACTCAGTCCTGCTGGATCAAGCTGAAAAGGTATTAATCATTCAGTGAATGGAAAAGTGAAGTTGTGCCAATGTAAAAACTGACTAAAAGACTGTAATTATCCTGAGGTGACACTACTTAACAATATGAGCTCAGAGTAACAATACACTAGATATTCTGTTGGGCAAAATGCTTTTCAATGTGCTTTTGTGTTTCTTCTTATCAAGGAACTTGTTAGGTTATGTTCTTCCAAACCATAGTAACAAAAGGGATTTATGACGCATATCAAATAACAACAGCATGCTTGAGCAATCATAGTTTACAACTGGAAGCTGTCCAAATATGGGAATTTTAAGGGGATGCTAACTGCTAATACTGGTTCAATTTCTGAGTAGTGACTTCAACCACAGTGTAGGTACTGAGGTAGAAAAATGGCAGCAATTTAGGCTGAATTTTCAACTCATGGAAATCCCCGTGCCTGACATGCATTGGGATTTTGTCCTTAGAATGTTAATTTTTAACAGTTAATTGCAACGTCATTAGCAACACAGATAAAAAATTCCATTTAATATATGGCTTTTGTTTTGTGACTGAACTTCATATGCCAGAAGACTGTGTAAACTGAATGCCCAAAGAGGATGTCTCTATTTGATGACTCCTGTGTATTATGGTGGCTCAAACAATATGCTAAATAAGTCTGAAGGCAGATTTGATTTACCTTTGCACACCAAATCAGTACGATCCCACTGCCCTCTAGCATTGCAGACTGCAGTCTGATTGCCGCTTGCAATAAAGTAACCATGAACACAATTGTAAGTAACTTCACTTCCGTACGTGGTCCCACTTAGAGATGCTGGACGTGCATTTAAAACAGAAGGTGGAAACCCACAATCCACACCTAGGAGAGGAAGAAAGAGGAAGATAAACTTGTTAGTCAAGCAGTAGAGGTAATGCCAGCTGCACTCCCGTGAGTATTTCTTTCATTGTTATCAACTAACCCTCTTCTCCTGTGGTAATCCAACACTCCCTCACGTCCTCTGCGATATCCCTGCTGTGACCAAGAGTGCTGCAGCTACTCTAGAGCTGCTTCCAAATAAAAGGACTTCTTTCTGCCTTTCTCTCAATACGGCATGCTAAATCTTCGACACCTTCCTCAGCCTAGGTGCTAGTATGCAAGAAATGTCCTGGGGTTTTTTTAATCTTTAAGATTCTCCTGCTTTTACAAACCCAATTACAGGTGGCAAGCCGGTTCTATACCATTTGCAGGTGAGCAATAGTCAGAGGCAGGCAGATGAGCAGAAACTGCCTCTAGGAAGGAAAATTTTAGAAAGTGCACAAGGACCAGAGAAATGCAAGACCACAGAAAAGGTTACAACATAAAACACAAAAGTTTCCTGTTAAAGCAAGAGTCTACATGGTGTTTGAAATGCATTGTAATAGTTGCTCTATTCACAAACACACCAAGTTGTCATTTACAAATGCATAGAATAGAGATGTCAAGTAGCACAAAAACCAATTTGATAGAATGCCCATTTTCTAAGGTAAGCAACCACCTAAAAGGCTTTAATTTTAGCATAACACAACACTCACATTCAACAGTTTAACTACACCTCTTCATGTACATCATATCTTCCAATTAAACTATCTGATTTTTCATCTTAAGACAATTCTTTTATTAATATTCAAGGGAAGCTATACTCTTCAAAGACATACTACATCCATATGCTTATATTTAAATTAAAAAAGGGGGATCTGCTCCACTTACAGTACTCTGGTGTTAGGTTACACATCTTACCAAGTTTGACCTACCTTCAATGGTCAGTTTCACCACAACTATATAAACTAAACTCCTAAATTACCACAGGAAGGAAGACAAAAGGCAAACTTACTGATTTTCCTGAAAAAGAGGACATTACACCTGGCCAGGAGAATTTCTTAAATTAGCGATAAAGACTTACCAGGGAAACTCTCAGATTTTAAAGAATTATTTAAAGATGCCTTTATTAACATTAAAAAAAAAAATCAGACTTGCTGGTTTTACAAAAACAGAAGTCCTAACTGAAATCCAGGAAAAGAGCTTGCAATACAAAGGGGAAATAAGTTTGTCATTTCAGACTCATGGTCTGTTTCTTGGCGTTTGATGTATTTTATTTCAACTAACCATGAGAGATGTGCTCAGAAAATCCAACCCAACCTACTGTGTGATTGCAGAAATTAAAAAAATCACATGAAAAAGCAATCACTGAAAGATAGTAATACAAAACAAATGTATGAACAACCCACAAGGACTGCATTCCACAAGCTTTCTTTAGGGACCTCTTGAGACCTTGGGCACTTCCTTTTCTGTTTTCAAATTCATTGGCCTTTATTTATTTTTGGGGAAAAATGTTATTTCAATTGTTTTATTTTTGATGCCAATAGTTTAGTATTAAATTGTTTTATCTTTTCTTTCTTACGAATTTTCTAGTGGTATTTAATATTTCACTTTTCCCAACCACACTGATGTAGCATCCTTATACTAATTTATTCACTTCCCATAGACACACATACAAACATTACATTTCTATCCACTCTCAAAGAAAAAAAAAAAAGGAGAAAGAATTAGAAACCAAGAGGGCTTTTGTATTTTGAAAGAAGGAACTTGTCTCACTGAGTGATAATTTTCAGGATGACAATTCTCCCCTATAGAACTATTATGCACAGTGTAGTTTCTGTTAGCTAGCACTTCAAATGTCATGTAACTAACATACAGACTTTCTAACTACTCACAGGAACACAAAATCCTGCACTTGTACGCAGTGATATTTCAACAGAATGGGTGATTAGAACACCCAAGCAAGTGGAAGTTTCAAAGATGCTCACGGGAAACTTTACACTTCAGAGATCTGAAAGTGTTTGCTCGTGCACAAATGCTCTTAAAATCATGAAGACTATCCAGAGATGTGGGGTGGTATGATGCCTCTTTTTTGCATCTACAGTCAACCTTAGGAAAAAACTTCACAAGCTATCAGAAAAATTGTTCTTTTCATGATAGGTCACTGATGGCTTCCAACTCAGTGGCCTTTCCCATTAAATGCTACAGAAATCTAGTTGGCTTTGGTTCACAGGCACAAGCATACGTTGCGGTTCCTGTAAAAATGTGAGGATTAGCATCGAAAATGTCATACCACTTAACAAGAAGAGGTGGAACAATTTTATAACCTGTCCTTTTCTTTTTTTTTTGCAAGTAGTCAGATCTTGAAAAATTATCCTTCAGATTGAGGAAACAGTCTACTGTCTTTCACAAACACACTTCACCATGCATAAATCCCCTTAATGAAGAATTTAAGAAAGATTTAAGACTCTTTTCACCTTTACAGCTTAAAGTGGCAGGTTCCCAAGTTGCATTCGCAGTGCAATATGATAACTTTCCCTCGTTGCTGTAAAATCCTTCTTTACATTCATAATGAACCGCACTTCCTGGTAGCAAGCTGTAGTTCCCCACAATGTAGCCATGCTTCATTTCAGGAGGGGAACTACATCCAATTTCTGCAAAGAGATTGTGTTACAAGATCTCACAGTACAAAAATCACAACACACGACCACTTTAAGATGAGCTGAACTGGATGGTCACATCACAAAATACACCCAATCTGATGAATCTGAGGGGTCGCCAAAGGAGTAGAAGATTAGAGTTGAAGAGTTGTACTGGCCACGGTTGAAGGAACACGGTGATCCAGGTACTGAGCTACATCTTTATTAACATACAGCTGGAGTCATTCACAACACCAAAGAGGAGATACTGCAACGTGATGGTGCTTTGCATGTGCCAGTCTTGCTACAGCAATGGCTGAATGATCCTTCAACACCAGAGGAAAACGCACATTGGAAAAATGGCACACTGGAAATGGCCCCAATGCACAGCTTTATTTCCCTGTGCGTCGGAAAGGCGAAGCACTGCAGATAGGCTGAAATGAAATGGTCTGCCCCTCAATTCCCCCATCTCACTGAAACAGCCTGCACAGAAAAGCTACATTCCTTCAGCACAGCTGCTTGACAGGGCTCCCTTGCCTGACTCCGCAAGCGACGCAGTCAGTACGGACACACTACTTTACCACAGCATGTGAGGGGGGAAGTCGGTGAGATAAGCGGCATTATCAGCAATTCTGGCAAAATGAAGTGGAGCGCTCCAGTCGGAAACACTGGACAAACCACAGGCAGTGAGCTTCACTGACAGTTCTTGCAATAATTCAGAAATGAGAGCTGGATATAATTGAGGCAGTTTCTTCCACCTGGGATGCCTGGGTTCATTACATACTCTGACAGCCACAGCTTACACTGCTAGCGCTTTGCATCTGTGAAAACCTACACTAGAGAGGAAAGCAGGAATAAAAATGGTTTCAAACTGAAATTTTTTTTTAATGGCAGGATAAATAGAACAGTTTATTTTTGCAGGTGGCACAGCATGTAATAAACAGCTAAACTATTACTTTGTTATGCCTCTCCCCTAGGTTTGTTTCATTCATCTGACCTCTCTTACCCGCTATTTATCCTCGCTTCCCTTCCCCTTCATCCAGTATGATTATATAAGCAAGTGCCTTATACCACACTTCCTTCCTATTCAGAAACTAACTACATCACCTTCATGGCATTATTAAGCTTCTCTGACCCTGCACACCTGAACCACTGCTGAGAGCCTGTAAAAATCATACCCGGTGTAGACTCTACCATCCAGACATCATTGGAACAAACTGAACCCAAGAAGAAAAGAAAAAATCGTTCAGAGACTCAAAAGCACAGGTCAGAGCAGGCACCACTATCATCACATAAGATCTGATTTTTATCTGCTAACAAAAAGAGCATCCAAAGACTCTCACCTTTGCATGAAACTATGTTACCATCTGGATGAAAAAAATGCTCTCCATTTTCTAATTTATAACCATCATTGCAGTAACACTTGTAGCTTCCTTCAGTATTCACGCATCTTGCATTGTGACCACACAGCCCAGACTCCTCACATTCATCTATATCTAAAAATTCAGATAAAAATATATGCACTTTATAACAGTATTTTTTTAATTAATTAATGTAGGACCCAAGCTTAAAACAAATACAGCATTCCACGAAGGGTTTTACATAGCTTCTGACGGCTCGTCTGGGAAACAAAGGAGCTTAACAGTGCCTAGTGTTCAAGTATCCAGAAGGGAGACTCAATTTTGTAGCTATCTTTCAAAGTGTTTCTGTTTTACCTGACAAATAGTTTCCAATGTTATCTCCTTCTACAACAATCCCAGAAAATTCCCTTACCTGCAAGTATCTCAATCAGTTACAACAGTTCATTACTGTAACAAGGAACTGGCTAATATTCTACACTAAGCACAAATATGACATTCTGAGGGAAAGACAAGTATCATTTTCTTTAATCTAGCTGCTTCTTCTGGAAAGATTACTGCTTGAATGTGACTGTGAAGCAATGATTTCTAACACAGCAAAGAATGTAAAATGGAACTAATTCATAGCTGTTAGAATTTAGATATTAAATAAGTGTTTGCATCCACAGCAGAAAGTGCTCCAATATAGTTTTAGAAAATAAGCTCTGAAGTGATGGGAAAAAAAGATTTGTGTAGTAGGAAATTAAGTTCTGAATTCCTGGTGGTCAAGATTCTTTGTGATGTCTACCTGTACAGTTCGTGCCATCATTGGGAATAAATGTCTTGTTGTTGTTGGAGGCTCGGTATCCATCAAGGCAAACACAGTAAAAACTTCCATGTGTATTATGACACAGTGTATGATTTCCACAGATCTTGCTGGCTCCAATCTGGCATTCATCTTTATCTGTCAGCACATTTAAAACACATCAGAGAGAGATTAAGAAAAACAGAATGTCCTTCCCTCCTCACTCATTCTTGTGTAACCAGACTGCCCCTTACTGTTTTTCTTTCTAAGTTATTTGGCATGTAAACCCTGCTAGTAAGCTGGAGTATTTAGACCAACAGAGGTTGCTGTCCCCGGATGAAACTGTGAATAAAGTTTCATGACACAGCTTGAGTTGATCTAAGAGATGTTGAAACCAGAGGGCCCTGCCCCTCCTTACAGCATGCACTGGCTGCAGCACTTGATGGAGCTTCTGCTGATCTCACCCAACTCACTCAACTGGCGGAGAATTAACATGGCAAAAGAGGCAGCTGATCTTCTCCCACAACGAGGAATAACTGAACCCTGTGCAGGGCCCAGCATGTGCCAGTGCTTGTGAAGGAAGGAGAAGAGACGGGAGGGGAGGAGATCAGAGGTGGAGGACCTTCTCCTTTAAGCAGTGGCAAGCTATTACATACACTCAGACACAGCATCTGACACCATCCTTTGATTCACGTATTGATTTATCATGTATGAGATAATATTAAAAGGACACTACCAGCTACAGTAATAAAACAACGCTAAAGAACACTTTGCATGTAACAGACATTTGTACTTAAGAAATCCGTGTTTATATGCACACTGTTATTAAGAACAGACCTTCAACTTATGAAATTAATTTTTAGTTACCCAGTAACACGAGATAACTGGAAAAATCAGCAAAAAAGCGCTAATTTTAATTGTCAGTTTTATTGTCTAGTTTTCAGTTCAATGGTGCATAGGTTGAAAATAAAAATAAAGTGAAGCCCACCATATTTAATTTTTTTTTGCTGAAGCTAGGACAAAATATATTAAATAAACCATTCCAATACATTCTATTTAAAAAGTAAATGTTTGATAAAACCCTACATTTTCTAAGACAAAATTAATTTAAATCCTTCATTATATAGCAGAAACTGAATAAAACAGTTAAGCAACTAAGTACAAAACAATACTTACATCAAGTACAAGTAAAGTACAGCTCATGGCTAGCCGTTAGAGGGGGAAAAAAAAAGAAAAAGGAAAAACATATTCCAGGTTTTGGAAATTCTGCCAAGAAATGACAAAGCTCTTACCGCATTTTGAAGAATTCAATAATATTACTCGAGAAAGAACATTTTGGGACTGTACACAGTTTCTCGCCATTTTACAAACAGGCAGCCTACCTTGACAATGGGTTCTTCCATTGCCTACAAATCCATAGTTACAGATGCAGACACTTTTTCCTTCAATTTGGTGACAGGTAGCATGAATGTGGCAAGTTGCACAGACATCTGAAACTGATCTCTTCACAATTGCTTTAAGAACAAAAAGACGCAATTACTTTTTTTTTTTTTTTAATAAAGGACCATAAAGGTGGTCTGGTGTAGGTAACTGGCACAGAATTTAAAGCGGAGATAAAATCCAGATTAAGACACATAGAATAAAATCCCATCTCATCCCACCTCATTTTCAAACTTGCAGGAAAACCATAGCCATAGTATTCAGAGACCAAAGATAAAAAAACCCAAAACATAAAGGATTAAACAAAATAACTACACTGAACAGTTTACTCCGTCCATCTATTCTTTGACAACAAAACAGCTTTTCAGCAGCTAGCAAGGCTTACAAGACATACAATAAATAGCACTATCCAATATTATTATCTTTTCTCCATATTAATTTTCTTTCCCTTTTGTCTTGATTTCTGTTTCCTCACTTATTCTATTATTTACACATAGGCATTTGGGCTATTTATCAATCTATCTGTATCTTACATCATCAACACATATATGGTACAAATGCTATTCATAAAAATGATGTTGAGAATGCTGCCGCAGGAAAATGACTTAAAGTCAAGTCATTTTAGAAACAAATTTATATTAGAAGTAATTTAGCAGTGTATGACACACAACCTAATCTGCTGTAATTTGACAGGGCTATAAATTTACATGAAATTAGAATAAAATACGAACTTATTATCTTAATTGTATTCATACTTTTAGTGCATTATGTCAATTTCTCTCCATTTTTTAAGCTCTTTTTGTTATCTTCACACATGCACTGGCTGTCCAAATGATAAACACGAGAATGGATGGCTTGAATGTAGACAAAGCATGTGTATGTTTACACCCTTTTTACATTTTTAAAGAAATAACTAATACTGCACATGCTGATGTTTTCTCATGATGCTGGACATAGCACTATGGAATTTTTCTCTTCTATGACAGCTAAGATTGCTAAGGATGGCGCGGTTCTTACAGAACACGGATCTTACTGTGTATACAGCAGCTCTGACAAAATTCTGCATGCCTTTACATGGCGTCTGAGCACATAACTGTACCTGGAAGAAGAAGGCAGCCGAACACTCTAGCCAGCTTTTTTTAACGCACCAAATTTATCGGTGTGATAAAACGGCCCTTCCACACGCACAGTGTTTCAGTTTTACTCAGTGCATTTCTGAGTGCCTTAAGACTTGCGGGAAGCATCACAGACTCCCACTCCTAATTCTCAGTGCTTTTATGTACCTTTTTTGGTGTGTGTTCCTAATAAGAACAGAAAACAAAAACCGTCGGCATGCAACGGCAGCCAATGCAGACCAGAAAATTAAATTTAAAAACAGCCACGGTAAGAACTTTCTCATGATACCTCAATCTTCTGATAAGACAGGGGAGCATCCTCCTCAGATTGCTGCTCCGGGAGATAAAAAACGGTTTTTTCCCTCCCTTTACTACCAGAGATGGAGCTTCACGCCTTGTTTCTCCCTAGCAACCCACGGTTTTCCACTCGGGCCCTGAAGCCGCCTCAGGGTTTCAGTCCTGCCCAGGCGCTCCGGCAGGCGCGGCTCCCGCCCAGGCCAGGCCCCCTCGCCCGGCCGAGGCCGAAGCC